ATTACAAAAAATTGTACAATGTTACTGATGTATAGATTAATATCTTACTAGTAGGGTAGGAAGGGGGGGTTCACCTGCACCCGAAAGGTATATTTTTTTAACCTAGTTTTTTGTAATCCTTAAGGTGTCTAGAAAAGGAATTTTGATGTTCCCCACGCAAATTATTGTCCCATATGTGATTTTTTGTATCATCTTTTGTGTCTGTGCTTGATTTTTGGTTGCGGAAAATGAAAACTTTAAATCTACATAGAATCTGAACAATACATCCTACAGACACAATCTACCCCATTTTCTCTTCGTCTTTGCATGAGGAATTGATAGATATGAGGATTGTCATGATTAGATGATGTATAGTGCATAAAAACTCAAATAAACACAAAAAATGGAAAAAAATGGTGACATTGGATCACTGGAACTCCTCCCCTATGGACCCTTCTGATATATGTTTTCTAACTTTTGTATTTTTACAGTCTTTAGGATGTCTAAGAAGCAAATGTTGATGATCCCCACCTGAAATATTGTCACATGTATGTCTTTTCTGGCTATATTGGTTGCCACCCTGGATATCCAAAAGAGCAAAAAAGAACATTTACATAGGCAGTCTCTTTTTCTCGTTTAGTTTTCGATTTGATAGATCTCCTCCATTTTTCATAACTAAATTATTGTTGAGCACATTACTGCTTGTTTCCAATGTCAATTGTTGCACATTAAAAATATAACGTAGATATTTTAAATAAATAATACATTTTAAGATACAACGTGTTCAAATATATGCATTAATTAAAAATCATACCATGTAATTAGGATTCACTGGTAGTGTGAGGTTTATTTAACATACATTTTTAAACTAACTACACACATACATAGCCTACATGATGCACCAACATACAATTAGAAAGATCTTTCTTGGTGAAGAGCATGTAGCATTATGGAAGCCCACATTAACTGGCAGATATTGGTCTCTCCAGGTTTCTGTTAAGTTGATTTTTTTTTTTATTATACTTAATAATTAATTAATTATACTTTAATTATTATTATTACTGGTGAGGGAATGTGTTTCATCTCAAGTGGGACAATCTGAAAAAAATAACAACAAACATTCATGGCTCAAATGTGGTGAACTGGACCGGTGGGACCATGATACAGGTGGTGAAACCTGGATTTGATGCCCCCAACTCTCTGGAAATTCCACGAATGCTCCCACTCTACGAGCGGAACAAGACACGCTCTCTTAAGGTAGACATACCTGAGACCCTAAACACCGTCCATATCTATAGCCGAGACGGCCCCAAATTTCCTGAGGGAGCAGTTTTTACTCCGCCCACAGCAAACAACAAAATCTACTCAAACTGCATCCAAGAGTATCGTGTCTGGCTAATTGTCCGAGTGGTGGGAAGCAGTGGATCAAAGCAACTTGTTGTAGGGTTTGCTGGCTTTGTATTAGCCACTGGTTACAAGCCCCCTCGAAGATCTACCATCGACTACTTCACCCCAATCAACCAACCTTTTACAGAGTACTCAGTCATAAAGGAGCTGCTAAAACACAGTCTGAGGAGGCCACCATGGAGGTGGGTCAGGAGTACGTCCTCAACACCTTTGACCTCGGTGGTTGCATGAAGGCCCTGCCTCTCATTTGGAAATTTCCATTTCTCCTTAGTTGACAAAGAGCACCTCTACAGCCTCGCATCTGGTGCCCCTGCTTCCTCTGAGGTGGAGTTTGATGTCATACGTGCGGAGGCAGCTGGTAAGGAGTCCAAGGAAGCTTTCATCCAAGATCGCTTTGTGAGTGGCTCTTCTGAGGAGCTGTTTTTTGAGCCAATCAAGAAGCTGAAGCTTAAGACTATGGATGCCTCAAACAAAACAGTCAAGCTCACTGGCTCCCAAGGAAAGGTATGAGGTATATGAGAAAGGTATACTCCTCATATAGAAAATGAATAATTGTTGTCATATTATATATACAGTATATATATATATATATATATACAAATATATAGTTGACATACTATATATATATATATATATATATACAAATATATAGTTGACATACATTCAATTCAATTCACATTTATTTGTATAACGCTTCTCACAATACACATTCTTTCAAAGCAGCTTTATAGAAAATGCATTTCAGAAATGGACATAGAAAAATACAGTTAGTTAATCATGTATTAATTTAGGGCATTACATATAACATACAATACATGGCATACTGAGAATAACAGTATTGTTCACCTGTTCATCTTTGCAGGTATTGCAGTTCCGTGAACAAAGTGACCTCGCCTTCATGGTGCTCATCAAGTCACAGAACCTGGATGAACCCCTCAACCTTGACGAGCTGATGCGGTACTCACTCTTCCCAGTTCCTCCCAGTCTAGGCACAGCTGATGGGTTCTTCAATAAGACCAACAAGGCTGTAATCCTTCACTACTTGATGGAAGATGTCTCTGAAGATGTGCCTTATCCGAAGGATGCTTTCTACATCCAGGATGGCAATGCATTCTTCCATGCCTTGATGAACCTCCCACCAATGTTCGAGGGAATTTGTCTCCAGTCCCTTGACCATATGGTGGCTAAGAAGCATTTTGTCTTCTCAACGGACTCCTACCATGATGATTCTGTCAAAGCTCAGGAGAGATTGCGTCATGGCTTGTCCCAGCGGTACATCATAGGTGGTCCTGCAACAAGGAAGCCAAGTGACTTCAAACTCTTCCTGGCAAATGATGAGAACAAGACAGGCAAAGCATATCATTTGGACTCATCGGGTGGCAATGTGAGTATTTTGACAGTCTTTCTCACTATTCTTCTTTATTAGAAACTTTTGGAAAATATTTAGCCAAGCCCAGTTTTACACGAGAAACTGATAAAATGGTGTCTTACTATATACTATCACACCTTACTCAATAACTTGTTTCAGGCTCAGCTCCTTCTTCACCACAACAGACCGGTACATCGACCGCATTACTGCAGAAGCTGCACCGATCCATCTGTCAATCTCCCGTTCCATCCTTCCCTCACTTGTGAACAAAACCCCAAGATACTTAAACTCTTCCACTTGAGGCATGATCTCTCCACCAACCTGAAGTGGGCAAGCCACCCTTTTCCGACTCAGGACCATGGCCTCGGATTTGGAGGTGCTGATTCTCATCCCAGCCGCTTCACACTCAGCTGCAAACCGTCCCAGTGCATGCTGAAGGTCCTGGTCTGAAGGGGCCAACACGACAACATCATCTGCAAAGAGCAGAGACGAAATCACGTGGTCCCCAAACTGGACACCCTCCGGCCCCTGGCTGTGCCTAGAAATTCTGTCTATAAAACAGAACCGGCGACAAAGGGCAGCCCTGCCGGAGTCCAACATGCACTGGGAAGAAGTCTGACTTACTGCCGGCAATACGAACCAAGCTCCTGCTTCGGTCATACAGGGACCGGACAGCCCTTAGCAAAGGACCCCGGACCCCATACTCCCGGAGCACCCTCCACAGGCCGCCGCGAGGGACACAGTCGAATGCCTTCTCCAAATCCACAAAGCACATGTGGATTGGTTGGGCAAACTCCCATGAACCCTCCAGCACCCTGTAGAGGGTATAGAGCTGGTCCAGTATTCCACGGCCTGGTCGAAAACCACACTGTTCCTCCTGAATCCGAGGTTCCACTATCGGCCGTATTCTCCTCTCCAGTACCCTGGCATAGACTTTCCCAGGGAGGCTGAGAAGTGTGATCCCCCTGTAGTTGGAACACACCCTCCGGTCCCCTTCTTAAAAATAGGAACCACCACCCCGGTCTGCCATCCCAGAGGCACTGTCCCCGACCGCCACGCGATGCTGCAGAGGCGTGTCAGCAAAGACAGCCAGTTATTTGACTACCTCGGTGACTTCAGCTAGGGTGATGGATGCGTCCACCTCTGAGCCCCCAGCCTCTGCTTCCTCAATGGAAGACGTGACGGCGGGATTGAGGAGATCCTCGAAGTATTCCTTCCACCGTCCGACGACATCCCCAGTTGAGGTAAACAGCCACCCACCTCCACTGTAAACAGCATTGGTAGGGCACTGCTTTCCTCTTCTGAGTCGCCAGACAGTTTGCCAGAATCTCTTCGAGGCCAGTCGATAGTCCTTCTCCATGCCTCACCGAACTCCTCCCAGGCCCGAGTTTTTGCCTCCACAACCACCCGGGCTGCAGTCCGCTTGGCCTGCCGGTACCAGTCAGCTGCCTCAGGAGTCCCACAAGCCAACCAGGCCCGATAGGACTCCTTCTTCAGCTTGACGGCATCCTTTACTTCCGGTGTCCACCACCGGGTTCGGGGATTACCGCCTCGACAGGCACCGGAGACCTTACGGCTGCAGCTCCGAGCAGCCGCTTCGACAATGGAGGTGGAGAACATGGTCCATTCGGACTCAATATCTCCAGCCTCCCTCGGGATCTGGTCGAGGCTCCTCCGGAGGTGGGAGTCGAAGATCTCTCTGACAGGAGACTCTGCCAAACGTTCCCAGCAGACCCTTACAGTACGTTTCGGTCTGCCGAGTCTGTCCAGCTTCCTCCCCCTCCATCGGATCCAACTCACCACCAGGTGGTGATCAGTTGACAGCTCCACCCATCTCTTCAGCCGAGTGTCCAAGACATACGGTTGAAGGTCAGATGAAACGACCACAAAGTCGATCATCGACCTACGCCCTAGGGTGTCCTGGTGCCACGTGCACTGATGGACACCCTTATGCTTGAACATGGTGTTCGTTATGGACAAACTGTGACTAGCACAGAAGTCCAATAACTGAACACCACTCGGGTTCAGGTCAGGGGGGCCGTTCTGTCCCTAGAGCTAGTTTCCGTGTCCAGGGATCGGGTTGTCGAGGCCCCCGCCTTAAACTATCCCTTACGGTCCCTCCTGCAGGTGGTGAGCCCACGGGAAGGCAGCCCCACGTCGCTCCTTCGGGCTGAGCCCGTGGGGGGAGGCCCGGCCACCAGGCGCTCGCATACGAGCCCCAACCCCGGGCCTGGCCCCGGCTGCGCCATACCGGGCAACGTCACGGTCCTTGTTTTTTCTTCACTCATAAGGTTTTTTGAACCGCTCTTAGCCTGACCCGTCGCCTAGGACCTGTTTGCCTTGGGAGACCCTACCAGGGGCATATAGCCCCGGACAACATAGCTCATAGGGTCGTTCGGGTACTCAAACCCCTCCACCACGTTAAGGTGGCAGTGCAAGGAGGGGTTGATTAGAATCACTTTTTTCTATTTCAGTTTATTCTAATGGGGATTTGTTATACCCTATATATACCGTACACATATTTGACTATATGAGTGGTTTTCTGTTTTGTTTCAATAAATATAATACCAATATAACGGTTTGAATAGTAACTACTTATTATGGGAGATGTTCATTTGGACCAACATGTGACAATATTTCAGGTGGGGATCATCAACATTTGCTTCTTAGATATCCTAAAGACTGTAAAAATACAAAAGTTAGAAAACATATATCAATAGGGTCCTTAGGGGAGGAGTTCCAGTGATCCAATGTCACCATTTTATTCCATTTGTTGGTGTTTATTTGAGTGTTTATGCACTATACATAATCTAATCATGACTTTATGATGAATTTAGGGTCTCAGGTATGTCTACCTTAAAGGAGAACTCCGGCGCAAAATGAACCTTTGGTCTAATAAAACATTGGTACCTAGTCAACCGTTCTCTGAGATTTGTTTTCATGATAATCGAATGTAAAGAGTTTTATCTCTAAAAACTGTTTACCGTATAACGCTAGTAATGGGGGCATTTAATAAGTAAAAAGAAATCGCTAGTTAATACCACTAACAAGGCTCGAAATAGCCCCACAAGAAAACAGTAACATAATGAGGGTCCCTACATGGAAAACGAAGCATTGAGAACTTTGTAAGTGTACAGACCGTTTAATAAGAAGATAAAGATAAAGACAGTCCACTTCATGTATACAGACAGGAGCCATCTTTGGAAAACAGTCTCGATTAATCAAACCACGAACGACGTGCTAAGTGAGCTGAACTGTATGAAGTTCAGTGAACTTCTGAACTGTATGAATGGCGTTCGTGGTTTGATTAGTCGAGACTGTTTTCCAAAGATGGCTCCTGTCTGTATACACGAAGTGGACTGTCTTTATCTTTATCTTCTTATTAAACGGTCTGTACACTTACAAAGTTCTCAATGCTTCGTTTTGCATGTAGGGACCCTCATTATGTTACTGTGTTCGTGTGGGGCTATTTTGAGCCTTGTTATTGGTATGGTATAAACTAGCGATTTCTTTTTACTTATTATATGTCCCCATTACTAGCGTTATACGCTAAACAGTTTTTAGAGATAAAGCTCTTTACATTCGATTACCATGAAAACAAATCTCAGAGAACGGTTGACTAGGTAGCAATGTTTTATTAGACCAGAGGTTAATTTTGCGCCGGAGTTCTCCTTTAAGAGAGCGTGTCTTGTTCCGCTCGTAGAGTGGGAGCATTCGTGGAATTTCCAGAGAGTTGGGGGCATCAAATCCAGGTTTCACCACCTGTATCATAGTCCCACCGGTCCAGTTCACCACATTTGAGCCATGAATGTTTGTTGTTATTTTGTTCAGATTGTCCCACTTGAGATGAAACACATTCCCTCACCAGTAATAATAATAATTAAAGTATAATTAATTAATTATTAAGTATAATAAAAAAAATTCAACTTAACAGAAACCTGGAGAGACCAATATCTGCCAGTTAATGTGGGCTTCCATAATGCTACATGCTCTTCACCAAGAAAGATCTTTCTAATTGTGTGTTGGTGCATCATGTAGGCTATGTATGTGTGTAGTTAGTTTAAAAATGTATGTTAAATAAACCTCACACTACCAGTGAATCCTAATTACATGATATGATTTTTAATTAATGCATATATTTGAAATATGATTTATTATAATGTATTATAATGTATTATTTATTTAAAATATCTACGTTATATTTTTAATGTGCAACAATTGACGTTGGAAACAAGCAGTAATGTGCTCAACAATAATTTAGTTATGAAAAATGGAGGAGATCTATCAAATCGAAAACTAAAGGAGAAAAACAGACTGCCTATGTAAATGTTCTTTTTTGCTTTTTTGGATATCCAGGGTGGCAACCAATATAGCCAGAAAAGACATACATGTGACAATATTTCAGGTGGGGATCATCAACATTTGCTTCTTAGACATCCTAAAGACTGTAAAAATGCAAAAGTTAGAAAACATATATCAGAAGGGTCCATAGGGGAGGAGTTCCAGTAATCCAATGTCACCATTTTTTTTCCATTTTTTTGTGTTTATTTGAGTTTTATGCACTATACATCATCTAATAAAAATGAAAGACCCATGACTGGCAGATGAACGTGCGACAACAATTCTCTCCGAAATGGTAAGAAGTTATATTAGATTGAATGGAGGATTTTAACTGTGACGAGATGATTGACAGGGCAGTTTACGGCGATAGGATGCACGCGACAGATCTGTCCGTTAAAGATGACGAAGTAATATGTCCCAAAGCTTGCCTACTCTTTTGCTACACACTCAAAAGTATGTACTTTTTCTTCACAAAAAGAGTACATACTTTTAGGGCGTAGTATAAGTAGGCGAATTGGGACGCAGCATCGATGTCTCGTCCGGGCTGCTGGCCAATGGAGGTCGACGTCTGCACCTGGCGGCCATCTTGTCACAGGCAGCTCGCTCACTCGTAACATTGTGTTTTAATGGTCCATGTACTTAAATAACCATAACTTGCTCAATTTTCTACCGATTTTCAAACGGTTTGGTATGTTATAAACGTCAGAGATGTAGTTACGACACTGCATACTTATGAATAATAAGTGTATAAATAAATAATCACCCAGAATTATAGCCGCGTTAATAACGTTTGTAAGAAACCAAACCGTTTGTAAATCCGTCAAGATTTCAACGAGATAAGAGTATTTGTGTTCGTGCTGATCACTCATCTTACATCAGGTACCACAGAGCCCGCCAGAAAGCTTGCCTGTGACAAGATGGCCGCCGGTTATGACGATATAGACTCCGCCGTAAGAAATCTAGCCTTTATTATGGATATCTATGGTGTTCTGTGCCATTTGCAGCGCGTCTCTGTATTTGGCTGTGTTGTGAACTTTTGCAGTGTGTTTCTGTATTTGGTTGTGTTGTGAGTATTTGGAGCACACATGTGTTAAATCTTTGTCTTAACCAATGTTTAAAACATTTTTACACAAATGATCTAACAATTGTTTTCTGTTATGTAAAGGTTCATTGTGAGGATTAACCCTGACAACAGCAAGTGCTCCTCAAAGTTCCAGGTCAGCAAAAGAAATGGGAAGATGGTGCAAAGGAAGAACTCTACATGAACCCTCATGTATCCTCCTTCATTAAGGAATTTCTGGATTTCAGCTAGCAAAACTATTAAGCTACTAAGAGCAAATACACTACACAGGAGTTTTCTGAATTTGTACATTTTTTAGATTGTTCTTATAACTGAATCTGTTAATGAATTGTTTTAAAATGCTCTTTATATGAAACTTTTATGTATAAATGTTACTGCAGGTTTTTGGAAAACTGATAGTACAATCTGCAATAATATTAAAATGTTACTTAATGTATTACAATTGAACAATTATATAAAAAAAAAAAGTTAAACAGTTGTCTTTGTTTCTTTTTATAGTTATTTACTAGTTTTTACTACTGAGACCTGTTGCAATACAATAATTTGTGCAGTTTTACAATAAATAGTAAAAGTGGACAACAAATTACAGTAAATTTCACAGTGTAAAGTAATATATTTGTATTGTATTCAAATATATTACTGGAGAAAATACCATAACATTATTGTGTTTTACAGTAAAAAATACACTATACTGTAAATATATTACAGCAAGTTAAATGGTACTGTAAATATGAATACAGTATTTTTACTGTAAGTTTAATTTACAGTAAGTTACTGGCAAACATGCTGCCAGTAATTTACTGTAATTTCTACAGGAATTCTTTTTACAGTGAGCCCTACAATGCAATGTGGTCACATGCATTTCTGACTACTTCCATGTGTGGTTTCAGTGATCTGATTGCAAAACATTTTAGACCCTGTTTGCACCTGTATTTAGCAAATGTTAAAGCAATGTGTAAATGGGTACTAATGTTCGAAGTTCCACTAAAACAATCAAGATGTAAACTTTAGAGGCTTGCCATAAGATACAGTGAAGGTGTTTGAAGAGTGCATTGCAGACGTGATCCAGAACATCCCAGAATTACAGTGTATGCCATGTTTCCTAAACCCTACTTTTTTTTGTATCTTACAACATACAAACATTTGAGAGGTTTGGGATGGGAGTACTGAATGTGTTTTTGTCACTTTGAGAAAATGATTGAAAAGGTGGTCTCTGTAAATACTGACAGATATAAACTACTTATCTTTTTAAGCTAATATGAAGCTTATCTTTTTAAGCTAACTTACCTAAATAGTTCAGCAACATATTTTACATTATCATTAAAAGTATTTTAAAGGTGTAGGGGAGAGCGGGGCACAACCTAACGCGGGGCTAGTTGTAACACACTTGTTTTAAATACTTCCACACATGCTAGCATAACAAAAATTGGTGTATTTATTATTTGCCATAACACTATATAGAGAAAAAAAATGCTCCAAAATTCAGAAATCTTTGCAAGATATCACTGAAAATGTTTTTAAACATATAGCAAAAGTAAATGTCCTACTTATGTAAATTTGTCATCTCTATTTTTTGTTTATTTGAAATTAGACAAATCTGATATTTTTTTAATCTCCAATCTGTTTTTTAAAAGTTGAGATAGTTCTTTAATGGTTCGCTAACTAGCAGAAGACACTAGCTGGGTTTAAATCCCAGTTCTGCAGATGGGGCATGTTGTAACACTGCGTTACAATGTGCCCCCATTAGAATAACTACATTAGTCTATTCTATACTTTTAAAAATAAAAAAGGTGAACAATGACTAAGAGTCAGTGTTCAGAAATGATTAATTATTATTATGTTTTGAACTATGCTGTATAGCTGTGTTTTGTGGTGTGTTTGTTGTCAAACTCAAAATTAGTTTATTTTTAATTATTAAAACATGCCATTATTTTATATAAAAAAGTTAATAATTGTAATTTATTCGCCATTATAGCAGGTTTAACGACTGAAGCGACAACTTGCCATGTTACTATAGTGCGGCTGGCTACGCAATACTCGTTCCCTAACTCAGGGAACTGAGGTTACGTGAGTAACCGAGTAGTTCCCTTTCGAACGGTCACTTCGTATTGCGTAGCTATACGCAGTGGGGACGCCATGCAAAACGCCGCACTGAATAACTGGCTGCTACTGCAACTCAGGACCCCTGAGCATACAGAACAAGCCATAACCGCATAATTATGTATAAATAGACCAGACACCGTCAGGTCTAAATAGTACACCTTAGATAGTAATAACTTAACCCACTACACCAATGAACCCAGACCCTGTCGGGGTTATTAGTATATGAACATACCACCAGTCAAGTGGGTTTATATATATATATAATATAACCGGCCAAAGCAGGTTTATATATGTATGGAATATAACCGGCCAAAGCGGGTTTATATCTCTATGTGAGTGTGATTGTGCACAGTAATATATGACAAGACCAGCCACCGACGGGTCTTAATCATACCGAAAGCACCTTCGCCTGCAGGGAAGGCACTTCCATATTATAGAAATTCATAAATGTGGAAGGCGAGGACCAGCCGGCCGCCTCACAAATATCCCTGATGGGAATGCCAGATGACCAAGCCCATGACGAGGCCATACCTCTAGTCGAATGGGCCCTGATACCTATAGGGCAAACTTGACCCGCTGCGGTATAAGCCATAGAAATAGCATCCACTATCCATCTAGACAGTCTTTGCTTAGTGACTGGATCCCCCTTGGATCTACCACCAAAGCAGACAAAAAGCTGTTAGATAGATAGATAGATTAGATAGATTCTCAGCGCTCTGACAGGGCAGAGAAGATTCACCTCTCCATCCTCTGCAGAAGGAGAGAGGGCTGATAACGTCACCACCTGTGCTCTGAATGGTGTTGAGAGCACTTTAGGAACGTAACCATGTCTGGGCTTAAGGATGACTCTGGAGCCATCTGGACCCAACTCCAAACATGCAGGGCTCACAGAGAGCACCTGCAGATCTCCCACTCGCTCGATAGATGCCAACGCCATAAGGAGAGCGGTCTTCAGCGAGAGAGGTTTTAGATCAATCGATTGGAGCGGTTCAAAAGGCGGACCTTTCAGCGCCCCCAGGACGGCACAGACGGAGGTCTGGAGGGGTTCATTCTCCTAGCACCTTTAAGGATTCTCACGACCAGGTCGTTTCTTCCCAGTGACTGGCCAGCCACCAGAACATGATGTGCTGCTATGGCTGCCACATACACTTTGAGCGTGGACGGGGAGCGACCCGCATCCAGCAGCTCCTGTAAGAATGAGAGAACCACAGATATCTCACATGACTCTGGGTCAGCCTGGTTTTTCGAGCACCAGCTGGAAAAACCCGCCCATTTTGAAGCATAAAGGCGCCGAGTCGAAGGGGCCCTGGCTTCAGATATGGTGCTTAGGACCTTCTCAGGAAGGACCTTTGGTACCCGTTGAGGGGCCAAACATGGAGGGCCCATAAATCGGGTCTCGGATGCCACAATGTCCCGTTCGCCTGTGTGAGGAGGTCTTTCCTCAGTGGGACAGGCCATGGAACTGTGTCCGATAACTGAACCAGTTCCGGGAACCACGGTCTGGTTTTCCAGAGAGGGGCCACTAGAAGGACTGGGCATCCGCTCTCTCTGACCCGTTTGATGACTTGTGGAATC